ATAAGAGGGAAAGATTTTGACTTTGATGAAAATCATTGAAAGATTGCTGGATGAGTGAGTCTGGGAGAGCTGCGCTCGGCATGCGGGAGTGTTCCGGTCACTACCGAAAAATCCCCGTCACGGACTATCCAAGCGACCTTTGGAAATCTGAGTGTTAGAAAGAATTTTTAGAAAAAATTTGTGGGACGTGTGATTATCCAGCAAATTTGGTAGAAACAAAACTCTAGGCTCCTAAGCGCGAAATTTCGGAAATCCCGATACTTATTTCAACAGGTGCATAACAATAAACAGTTTCTTTATTTTGCTGAAGCGTGAATTAGATGTGGAGTTCAAATCTGTTCATAAGGGAGTTTACATATATGTAGAAAAAATGAATGATCTCAACAACGTACGTCCTTGAAAATTTGCATAAATGCGGAAGGAAAGTATGCATAAAAAAGCGAAGTGACTGGTGGGCACTGATTTACATATTACTCGAAATCGATAATAACAGCAGTGATAATACGTTATGTTAGGCCCTACAGATAGTTTTACACATCACAACCTTACCTCGAAACGATGGTTTGGCCTTCAACCAAAACCCGTGTAAACAATTCTAACCACTGACGAAAACAGCAGCAGGGCCAAAGATGTGCAGGCACCGCTTTGCATTCAATCCGTCAACGTTTCAAAATGCGCAATTTGGTTGTAGCCATAGATGATGAGCTGCTTGGTTGCACTTTCAAAAAATCGGGTGAATTCAACGATTCTGAGTTACTTTCATGCCTGAAATACATGTGCCTCATCTACATTTAATTCTTCATTGGAAGAAAAATAGCATAATACAAAAAGAATCAAGAAAATTTTACAAAGATCAAAAAGAATATCACATAAGACAAACTGACTTTATTTTTTTAAACTGCAGTTTAATCATATAAAAAACAAAATAATTCTGAGAACAGTTTTCTGATTTGTTCATTGGGAACCATTCTGGGCATACTTTTCCATTCTCCTTTTTGATAAAAAAACGTTAAGCTATCTTCAGGAGACGAAACGAACATCAAGAACACCGGCAGGAATGTAGTATGGGTCGAAATACTGGAAAAGTTACCAGCCGCATAGCTGGAGGACCTGAATTAGCAGCTAATATTCCAAGCATTCCAAATGTTTGTAATATATCCTAGTCTCCTAAGTAACTTTGTCTTTCTTCTTTTTCCGGCCATGCTTTAGCGTCTTAGCATGTAATTGATTCCTCGATCATTAAGAAAATATCAAATAATTTTCGAACAATGATCTTTGCAAGCACGCATTAGGAAAGTAGCACAGAAGGCATGCCTTGTGGTAGTATAGTGTTGAGGAGATAAATGAAAAAGTATGAAACTTACTGTATCATATCTTCAATATCCACAAGCATCGAATCCTGCTGCATGTATAACGAATCCTTCTCCACCAGAAGCCTCATTAACTCTGCATTTTCTTCTATAATAAACGTTCATTTAGCTTTAGTCCAAAAGCCAACCACCCTCAATGGCAATAGGAACAATACTCCCTATTCCATAAACAGTGCTACCTCGACTCAGTCATCATGAGCACAGAGGTCGTTTGACTTAGCCGTGTAACGTTAGTTGTTACCAAAATTCACCATCCAGGCGTAGAACGCAGCCACCTTAGAATCTTTTATTATACATCTCCTGACTCAGCGCCTGTCGTCTTTACTATACGTAAACACCCCATCCATTCGAAAACCACCCGAATGATTCACTTCCTTGACCTAAATTCTCCTCTCTTAAGTTATTTGGACCATACTATTGTTGTTAGCATTAAGTCATCAAAAGCGTAATAAAGTTACGCTGTCCGGTAGCCCTAATTTGCTTACCAACAAACCGATGCGGGAAAAAATGAGCATCCCGATTAATACCTTGCCTGATTTGATATCATCCGCCTCATGGAAGAGAAAGCCATCGATAGCTTTGCCAGTGTGTATGGTTGCCGCCGGCAAGTGCTACTAATCGGACTACTTACAAGTGCTCTCGCCTGTCATACACAGTGAGCTAGGTTTCATTCAGATTCGTTATTTTTAGATCTTAGAGAAAATATTACCATCGATGCGTTTGCTAAGTTGCTCGCTAATTTCAATTAGCTGTCGACACGACATCTTCGATAATTGTAGCCTGAAAAAGCTAAAATTTGCTTCGTTCATTAGGTAAGCTCATCTGGGAATTATCGCAAACCAATATTGCTGACC